CGATAAAGAGTTAAAGACCTAGCAGGAAGTTCTGTTTTTCATTCTTATATTTTTTTTCTTTTTCATTTTCACCTCCCAAGCCTGCAGATGTTTTTAGGTTCCTTCTGTATATTATATTATGAATAGTAATAAATAAACTTGAAGGGTTCATGGAATCACATAAATAATATCTTTGCTATTTATGCAAACAAGCTTTGAGTCTATATTCTAGGTCTTGTGGAATGACATGCATTCCATATGGATGCTTGGAACATGTGATCAAATTCTAAATTTGAAGTTTTATATTTTTTATTTTGGTATTGCAGGTTCTTTACCCAATCATGGAATGGGAAGCTACTGCCTTTGGCCGTCCAGTTCTTGCCCTAGTACTCGTTGCTTCTCTGGCATTTTTCCCAGTGTTCTTAATCCCTTCTGGCCCCTCCATGTGGCTGGCTGGGATGATTTTTGGTTATGGCCTTGGCTTTGTTATAATAATGGTTGGAACAACCATTGGGATGGTCCTACCTTACCTAATTGGGCTACTGTTCTGTGACCGCATTCATGTTAGTCATTTTATTTCTTATATGATCAACAATCTTCTCAAATTTTGTGTTGTATCTTGTCTGAGTAGGTTTTGTTTTTCCTTCTGTTTGTGATCGGTTATCTTTGTTCTCCAGCAATGGTTAAAGAGATGGCCACAAAATGCTGCAATGATCAGGCTTGCTGGGGAAGGGAACTGGTCTCGTCAATTTCAAGTGGTTGCACTGTTTAGGGTTTCTCCTTTTCCCTATACCATATTCAATTATGCTGTGGTAGTCACAAACATGAGGTTTTGGCCCTACTTATGTGGATCAGTAGCTGGAATGGTACCAGAAGCTTTCATCTATATCTACAGGTTTGTTTGTCTTTCTATTTATGGTCCTTCAATGGCTTAATGAGTTCCCTACCCTACCCGCGAAAATGAAAGAAAGAGTAAAAACAAGATTGGAAAGAAAAGGGAATTGTAAATACATTGCAAAGACACGTGTCTTGTCCTAGATCCTTATATGGTTGGAGGGAAAAGTACTAAGAGTGCAACCTTCTCTGTCTTTTTTTTGAGTTCTGTTAGATGTACAATTATACAAATATACCCTCATTGGCTCACGTGATTTTATCTTACCCATTCATTTTTTTCCCTATTTGTTCTCTCTTCCATTTATACATGGCATCTACGTTTGATATTGGCTTTGTCAAAAATGTGTGTGGTAGATTGGCGTCAAAGAATCATTATCCGAGTTCTTTTTGTAGCACTACCACATGTATGAAAATGAGAATTTAGAAGTTAGAACCAAATGAGTTTTGATGGATATATATAGATGTGACTGAGATTAAAACTTGTTTTCTTTATCACATTTTTTATTTATAAATAAACTAACATATTTTTTTATTCCTCTTCAGTGGTCGGTTAATAAAGACATTGGCAGACGCACAGTACGGGAAGCACCACTTGACTACTGTGGAAATCGTATACAACATTATTTCTTTCATTATTGCAATTATTACCACTATTGCCTTCACTGTTTATGCAAAAAGAACTCTAAATGAACTCAAAATGGCAGAGTTGAATGAGGAAGTTAACTCTGTTTCTGAGAAGGGTTGTTTTGAGATGGAGAAGCTTCCTCTTGAAAGGCCTAAACAGCTTATTTTGTCGAAATTTTCGTGATAGTGTATACTTTTTGTTTTGGATAATAGTGTATACTTATGTGTTCACAAGATGCTTTAGGATTACTTTTATAACATTTTTCCCTTTCTTTTTTCCCCGTTTACATCATGCGCCCTATGACAATCCCTGTAACTAGGATGTGTGATAGAGAAGAAAAAGACCGAATGCAGTTAACATCGTTTCCCTCATTTTTATTTCCTCTAAACATTTTTGCGGGGTAAAATTCGAATGGCCAGCATTTTATTTTTGTACTATGCCCCATAAATTATTGCAGTTATTTGGATTGTAATATAATAAATTAATAGTATTTTGAGAATAAGTCAAAGAATAAAATAATTAATTAAAAACATGATTATCATCAACATTTCATCTATAAGTAATTAAATCGATAGTTTCATCTATAAGTAATCAACTTCATATATAAATTATTACTTCGGTAGCCAAAAAGTATTTAAATGGTTATTTCAATGAGAATTATTGCGAAATTATGTAGTGATAGGTAATGTACTACGATAAAGAGTTAAAGACCTAATTTAATAACCACTAGGGTTAAATTTAATTGGTGTTGTGTAGAGATTGTTTTTAAGTAACCAAGGTACAATAATGACGAGGTGATGTGAATAGGAGTTTGTAAACGTTGATGCCCCTTCCATAATTATTTCTGGTTCATGTTGGGTTGATTATTTGATCATTTTGCGTGGCAATGTTGGCCTTGTACCAAAGTAGTCGCAGTCTGTTTCACTCTTACAGCCCTATATGGTGAACCTGTTTCGGATACAATTTCCGCATGAAAAGTAAAGGTGTTCCCCATTTAATGATGTCCGATCACTATTTTAGAGCATGAGATTAATTCCGTTTTATGTTTTGGAACATTTTACATATAGAATAGATCAAGACATAAGATTTTAAAATAGCAAGTGTAAATGTGGAATCTAAGAAAACAACGGAAATGTTCACTCCATTCGATGCACATTCTATTTTTTTTCACGCGTCAAATGTGGAATCTAATATTGGTTTGACAGACTGACGAGTTTATGGCATTCTCGCTTTTATTTGGCGTGAAAGTGATGCCAAAGGATAAATATTACACCAACTTTGATACAAGCGTTTCGTTAACCAGCTGTTAAGTTTGACTCTACATCACGCACCAACAAGCAAAAAGGTAATACAGCAAAATGAAGTTGAAATATAACGTGGCATCATACTCGTCACTCAAAAGTAAAGTGCAGAGTTCACTGACTAAAAAGAGAGATCACTAATTAATGGTGTCTATCTGAGAAATAACAACAAGAACAAGGCAGACCATCCATTTCCACCATGTCCACAGCATTAACACTGCAAAAATCTAAATCAGCTTCATGTGGTACTGCATTTTATACGATTTACAAAACCAAAAAGAAACCCCTGTATCCCTTTTTATAATGTTCATGGCACTAATGATGTTTAGAAGGATAGTTTCTAGCTGTTGGCCATACTAATGCATGAATAAAATCCAAGTCTCCAAACTTGTAAAGAAAAAAATTGACTAACTGTAAGACATTAGATGAACGTGTCACTTACATACTGCTCGTTTTGCACGTTTAAAGAATTCAGGATCTGATACATACATACATACTATGTATATCACAAAAAGAAAAGACAGTCTCAAGTACCATTATCAATTTTAATGCTAGTCTTGTATCGAAGATTGTTCCTAGACAAACTAGATTCACTAGGCCTAGTTCCACTACTTCCATTTGTCCATGCACGCACGCCCCTTTGCTTCGAATCTTCAAAATCATCAATACGCTGAAGTCGTTTGTGGTATTTGGTGGAAAGAGGAAAACGAATGGCATAACACCTCATGGTTTCCATGGTGCCGGAGGTGGTGGTGGTGTCGGAAACATTGGAGGAACAGCAGAGAAAAGGGTGTTTTTGTCTATTCCTGTGCTTTTCTCACCTGACAATGCCACAAGTGCAGCTACTAAACCTGCATTTCCTGCAAGAGTTGGCTCTGTGTAGTTGTAATTGGTTCGGACATCATGGAAACCATCGTGCTTGTCAGGACCTGCAACCATAGCTCCAACAATTGTATGTGGGTTTGGCTTATGTGTGTCCCTCCATTTCCATCCTCCTTTACAGTTGTACTTAATCTTGTTCTTTGGTATAGATGCACCTCTGTGGTGAACATGCTTTGGATAATGATTCCCAAAACCTACAACATAGCTCATTTTCCGAGGGTTCTTCCCAAGGATGTAATCAATCTGCAAAATCACCCAAAAAAAGGAAAAGAAAAGAATTAGCCCAGACACTAGATACTAATCTCCATTTTGCAACTTAAGGGAACAGAACGGCACACACCTGGGTCTTGGCAAAGTCTCGAAGAACTGCAGTTGAAAAGAAATTGGGTCCACAATACCATCCAGGTGTATCAGCCGCCTCGAGATAATCACTGTAAAGGGTAGCCAAAAAGGCAGCATTGACAACATATTGGAGGGGCTGAGGCCTACCATGGTTTAATTGAATCAAGCCGCCTGGTGTAGAAAACAACGTCACTCTTATTAGAACAATAATTTGAAAATATGATGCACAGAATAAAGGTTGAAACTAAAGTAAGACAATTTTTTTACCTCTTGTTCTGTTAAAGCTGGTGAACATTGGCAGGTAGGAGCACATGATTATGCCAGTCTGATTGTGAAATGTCCTCAAAATTTCTTCATATGGATAGCCAGGACTAAGGAACAACCTCAAACGACTCAGAAGAACCTAAATACAAGACAAAAGAAGGATAACATTACTAACTTTTCTCATGTACAAATAACCAGAACCAACATTCTTATAATCTCAGAACCAACAGGTCAAACATATTTGGTGAACATAGCCATCACCTACACAGCATGATCAAACTAAAATTATGATTTTGAAAGCAAGGGAACGTCCCGATCCTACACCTAACACAAATAATGTGAAGATACTAAACCCATACCGAAGATGTCAATAATCTATAATTTGGGAAAATAAATACGATAAATATGATGAAAAAGTAGTAATTTTAAGATTCTATTCGGATAAACTTCTCCGATCTTCAAAAACAATTATAAGAGAAGAAAACAAGAAAGTAAAATGATTTAAGCTTATAAGTTATAACCAAGTTAGCACTTAAGCTTTTGGAGGAAGTTACTAGTTATATGAGAAAATATGTTTTTGTATAAAAGTCAAAGCACATAAAGATGAAAAAGATTTCTGTGCAAGTGCAACTTAATTGGAACAAGACACGGAAGCTAATAATAGAAACTGTTGTTGTGAAATAAGAACAAATAGAAATGTGACAAAATACAAACAACTAATAAAGTGAGCTTGAAAGAGCAAAAAAAACTTATTTTTATACCTGAGCACCCGTAAGCTTGTTATCCCAGCTGAGGACACCGTAATCAGGTCCACCCCAGAAAGCTCCAGCATGTTTGGCGAGGCCAGGAGTGGTAGCCAGCTTAAGGTAAGAGGAATTCCCAGTGGCAAAGTACATCCATGCCCCTCCCCAAACGAACTCATCCCAATAGCTTGTGGAATTGTAGAATATAGAAGCCTCAGAGCCTCCCGCACTGTACCTACCCCTCTGATCCCTCGAAAATTTGTACAGCGTGGTGGCCCCGTGAACCAGCTTCTGCGAGTAGGCCCGGTTGTCCTTGAACACGATCGAGGCGGCCGCCAGCGCCGCCGCCATCTCCGCGGCGAGATCGGAGCAGCTATGGCACTCGGTGACGGGGCGATCGTAGTCGATGTCCTCGGGGCGCATCCAGCAGTAGTGGTCGTTGGGGGTGGTGCTCCCGCCGGAGGTGTCGCCGGAGCCAACCTGCGCGGCGAGCGTGGAGATGGTGTCGGCGGTGTGGTTGAAGGATTTGAGAAAGTAATCGGTTCCCCACTTGATGATCTCCTTGACGTGGGCAAGCTCACCGGCAGCCTCGTACTTGGCGCTGTACTCGATGACGCTCCAGCTGAGCATGGTGATGGAGAAGGACATTGGGAAGTTGAACTTGATGGCGTCGCCGGCGTCGTAATAGCCGCCGACGAGATCCTTGATGACGCTGGAAGTGCCGGCGGATTTTCCGTCCTGCATACACGAGTTCCCTCTCCAGGACACGTTGTTATGCCGCGGAAGCTTCCCGGCTGCAGAGATTAGAATAGTTAATTAAGTGATTGATGAATGGGAATTGAAATTAGGAAATGGATGAGAGAATTAGGGTTACATTTCTGGGCGTTGAAGAAGAGGAGGGCTTTGTGGAGGGCGAGAGTGTAGTTGTCGGGGGGAGCGGGCTTGTGGTGGTGGCGGGGGACGGTTTTGACGATGAGAGTGATGAAGCCGGCGAGGAAGGCGGAGACGGCGAGGGTGCCGAGGGTCCAGAGGAAGACTTTGCGGCTGACGATGATGCAGCCGAGATCCACGTACTTTTTCTTCTTCTTTTTCTGTTCTCCGGCACCGAGGAGCCAGCTCTGTTGAGTCTCGTCGAGGGCGGCGCGGTCCAGCTCCTGCAGGTTCCGGCTGCGCTCGTCGTCGGTGGCGGAGTCCGTGGCGTGGATCTCCAACGGACCTCCCCACGGATCCCTTCCGTACATACTCATTTTGATTTGTTAATGCAATGCAACGCTGCTTCTGTCTCTCACCACTCTACTAATTCCTTTTTTATTTTTGTTTTTCTAAAATTAAATTAAGTTTTTTACGATTGCCGACACCCAGTGGCCAGCTCACTCTCACTCATCCACAACTTTCACGCTCCCTCTAATCCTTCCTCTCTCTCCGTGTCCACTTTAATGAACTCTTTTTTTTCTTTTTTTACTTTCCATAATCACTTGATTCCATGTTTTTTAATGGGTCGTTCTCGTTCGTCATGGTTATGGGCCGCGCCCACTCGCTGACCCCAACCATCTATTCCAAATTCCAACTCCCCACTACTATTTACTATGGTTTATGGTCTCTTTGGAAAAAAACATATGAATTTTGAATTAAAAATTATTTTCTTTTTATAAATTGCTCTTTCTTTTGTTCACTTTCTATTTAATTAAACCAAAAAAAATCCACCATTTTTTTCTTTTAATTTTCTTTCCTCCCAATAAGCTTACTGAAATATATATGGTTTTAATTATTAGAAAAAAAAAATGTAAATATTAGTGTATCTATAATTATTAATAAAAGAAACACATTTTTAAATAATCGTTTTTGTCTTTTTTTTTAAACCTTTTTATCTATTCAATCATACAGTAACAAAAAAAATATAAAAATGGAAATATTGGTGTAGTTGGATATAAATAAATAATGTGGGTTTGTGGATGGCGTTTGCGTGAGTCCAGAGTCTGTCTGGGTTTGAAGTTAGAAGTTAGAAGTTAGAGGTATCAGCAGGGCAGTGAGCAATAGCATTAAGAATGGTATGCAGCGCAATTCCTTTGGTATGGGTATGTTGATGTGATGATTAGTGATACTTGTTTGAATTTGAATTAATAGGCAAGCGCAAGTGTTGGTGAAGAAGAAGATAATAACAAACTGACGCTCTATTCGTATTGGAGAAGCAGTTGTTCCTTCCGAGTCCGAATCGCTCTCAACCTCAAAGGTACTCTCTACTCTCGTTCCCTTAATTCTCTCTCTCTCTCTCTCTCTCTCTCATGATGATGATTCATCTCACTCACACCTTTTGTTTGCATTCAGGACTCAAATACCACTACAAGCCCGTCAATCTGTTGAAGGGAGAACAATCTCGCCCCGGTTTCTTCCCTAACCCTAACCTTCCTAATTTCTAGGTTATCTCATTCATTACCCAATTCATGCTTTTTCCTCCTTTCAGAGTTTCTCCAGCTCAACCCCGTTGGCTTTGTTCCCGTTCTGCTGGATGGCCACACCGTTCTCTATGACTCTTTCGCCATTATTATGGTCACTCCTTTCTTCCACTTTTCAAAATCTTTTATGCCTTCTAACGCCTCTCATCTCATCTTTTCTCTTCCTATGCATGCAGTATTTGGAAGATAAGTATCCTCACAATCCTTTGCTCCCTCTTGATATTACTAAGAGAACCATCAATTTCCAGGTACAAATTTCAATGGCATCCCCTTGCCTCGCTTCTCCAATATTCAATGAAAACAAATATCAGATTCTCCTATCTTCACATGCTTTCGTCTGCAGGCTGCTACTATTGTCTCCTCAACAATACAACCTCTTACAAACTTAAATTTACTGGTATGCTAATGTTATGTGCGCGGTTCTTCTTTTTCTGAAAAATGTAATAATATTGTTGATTTATTTATTAGGAAGCAACCATAGCTGGATGCTAGAGTGTATATAATATTTTTGTTGCTATTTTGCTTTTCTATTTGCAGAACTACATTGGGGAAAAAGTTGGCCCTGATGAAAAACTTCCTTGGATCCTAAGTGTATTTCGAAGAGGCTTTACAGGTGAGATTTGACTAACTTGCTAGCACTGCACTTTAGAGAGTGAAAAAAAAAACAGCAGCAAATGAGAAAGTTCTGAAGTTAAGGCTCATGCATTTGATCAGATTTGGACTATTAACTGTGATACCTTATTTTCTACTATAATATAATAGATGATTCATGGATGATGTAACTAGGTTTTTCAAATTCTCTTCCTATACTGCATACCCTACTATCATTATTGGTGTTGTCTGAAATATTGTAAGTTTTTCTTCCCTATGCAACAGATACAGAATTTGACTACCATATTGACTAAACAAAGTTGAAAATAATAGTCAATAGG